CTGGTACTTAATTTGCGTTCAGTCCAACACACAAGTATTAATCTATAGGTTTTGTCGCAGTCTTGACAGATTGTACAGTAAAAAGTATTTCTAATTCATTAAAAGGTTCTATGTCCTTTACATGTTTTAATACATTCGTTTTATTCATATATTGTTTCTGAAATTAAATCGATCGTTAAATATTCTACCTGTCAATTTTTTAAATGTTACTTATTTCCGTAATATGTATTATTACTATATATGGTTTATAAATTGATTCTACAGTATTTTCCCGTGATTTCCAATTTTCTAAATTTATATGATTTCTTAAAGTCATACGACATTCTCTGGCTATATTGGCTATAAGCGGACTTTCTAATTATGCAAAGTTGTAATTATAATGATTATGATAGATGGATTATTTTATTCATGAGTACATATATTACAATTTTCATCGAGGTAGTAAGAGTTATTTAAAATTCTAAGTATTATCTGTAGCCATTGGTTTCTGGCACTAATCTGTTACCAATAAATTATTGTTTCTGATTATCTTCATGACCAAATATTTCAATATATAATATTTTTTCTTTTATTGCAAATTATATCTGTGGTTTATAAGTCATAAAAGCTACTGATACATCATTAGTTTTTTTCTAATGAATAAATAGAATTTTGTCATCCACATATCGTTTATTTAAAATAATATCTAAATTCGGTAATACGGTGCTTTCCAACCGTCTCAATGTATATTCACTGTTGGCTTACATATAACAAGAGTAACAAAAGAATGCATATTTTGGAATCTAAATTGTTGCATTCAAAAAGAAAGAAAAACTGCATCGCCTTCCAGATATTTACCAAAAAAAAAAAGACTTTGCAGAAAGAATGCTCCCGAATAGGAACACCGGACAAAAATCGTGTTGGTTAGAATGAAGTAATTCTATCATGTTTAGATTGCAAATTAAATGAAGACGACTTTGATTGCAATCATAAATTATATCACTTATTATCTCATTTGGATAAAAATATTTTACAATTTGTGAGCGGTTTGATTTTAAATAATTGAAATATCTTATATGTACGTTTTTCATACAAATAAAGTAATAAATAATGTTAACGGTATTCATATGTGAAAGTTTCTTAATATAGTTTTGAATAATGTATCCTTCATTTTTACATAATTTCTTATTGACAGTACTGGGGCGTTCAACAACACGGTTTCTGCGTCGTTACCAGCAGTCAGTTTTATATCCCGCTCCTTGCACGCTTTTCCATCGTGTGCGCACGTGCTTGCATTATTTGCAGCCGCACGCTGCCTGCATTGCAACGCCAGCCCTCCCCGCTGCAGTGGGATTGACGGGTACATCTCCTTCTGACAGGCGAGCGCTTGCGGATGCAACACTTGCGTTGTTAGACATTTGAGACGAGAAACAAAGAAAACAGGGAGCGTGTACGAGTTCATAGCATTGAACTTTTAGGGCTAACATTGGTTAACACTCAAAACTCGCAGATTCTGTTTGCAAAATCGAAATTTTACTTCCAAGTATGTCGATGTACTTTGAAATAAGTTATGGATTTTGTAAAGAAAATCAGCGAGTTGTTTTTGGAAATGTCACGTTATTCTGATATTATAATCAAACTAAGATGAAAATCAATCATTAGTAATAAATTACGAACTCTTGATGTATATGTGACAATGGACTCAATATTTCTTGGAAGTTGTTGATGATTGAAGGAATGTTGCAGAAACAAATCATCAAATAAGTTTTAAATATTTTTTCAGAACATAATATGGTTGTGAATTACGACCTTCGTTATTGATTTGGCAGCAACGTTTGAATAATAATAATGCGCTCTTTGGCCTATTCTCAATAATGGTCTATTTATCTCTATGTAGAACACAAAAATGAAAGATTCTAAAAGTCAGGCATTGACATCATTGATCTGATCAAAGAATTGAAAAGAATGTGGGCAACTGAAAAGTTTTCATTTAGATCTTTCACCTCAGATGAACTTCATTTAGCTACATGAGAGGAAGAACAATGATATTTCGAAACGTTTCATGAAGTTGTATTGTATTTGAAAATTGGTCAAATCTTACTTTGGTCCTTCCGATCCTTCATAAACCTCAACTCAGTTATTTTTACATTATTATGTGAGGATATCAATGTTATTCCGATTGCTCTCAATTTACATTCAAATTGTAGATACCAAAAACGAAAAATAAAGAAATAATGATTATTACAATATGCTTGTATTTTGGTCTTAAGTAAATCAACTTGCGCATGAATATTACAAGGTCAAGAAGGCCCTTTTTTGGCATTTTCTCACACCATATTGTGGGAGATTTTATACATCTACTGTTCCATATCTACTTCACCACTCCACCTCCTAATGCATTTCAATTCTTCTTTCTGGATTCCTTTCCTTCTGTTGCCTCTGGGTGTCTCACCCCTTCCTCTTTAACTTCTCTCTCCCTCTCTCATTGGCATATTGTCCGTCACGATCGCGAGCGGAACCCTTGCCCTTCCGGGCCTCCGGTCTTGTACTTCCTCCCTTCACGCCCCCACACATTTCCCACTACCTCTCGCAACCATTCCTCTCGCGGTAGAGCAGCGCGACCCAGCTCACCGCCACCTCCGCCGCGGACACGCACCTCCCACCTCCCTCCACCACGCGAGCCCAGGGGCGGGGGAGGCGCACGCATCGCGCACGCACCTCGCACGCACAATGCGCCGGCAGCGACACGGACAACGGCGCCTGTTGGGGGCCGCAGGAATTTCACAGCTAACGGCCGAGTCGGCTCGTACAATGCGGCGCGTTACCTGCGCGCTTTGTGGCGGGAGAGACTTCTGTGTTATTCCAGGCGCGAGCCGGCGAGCGAGCGGCTCGGGCGAGCGGGGCGGCGCCCGCGGGTCACGCCCCCGGGGGCGGGCGGTGGCGGTGCCGCCCCTGTCGCCCGCGACCGCCTCCGCCCCCGGACCGCGATTCGCAGGAGCCCGCAGAGCGTCGGAGCGGAGACTGACTCCGGGACCTCGCGTGGTAGAGCGTTCAATGCCGGTATTGATCGATTGTTTATAGGGGGAGGCTGCGGCGGCGACGGCGGCAACAGCCACGGCGTGGCGTCTCGGGCGATTCAACGCAACCTCTATTCAGCGCTCTGGACACCGCCGCCGCGCCACCCGGCTGCGCGCAGCTGAAAGCTCTCGTGGCGGAGCGAGATGTAGGCGAGGAAGAGGGCCAAGAGGAGGCGAAGGAGGAGGAGGAGGAGGAGGAGGAGGAGATGGAGGAGGAGAAGAAGCTGCTCAGCCAGAAGCGCCAAGCTGCCTCAGAGGAGCGCTGAGTCGACCGCCCGCTGCCCCCACAGAGGTGCCGTTCAGGAACTGCTGTTTTGTGGCATTCTGCCGTTGCTAATCTTCCAATGGAACGGGGACCACCCACGTGTATTAAGTCGATGGTGTTCGCTATTGAGGTTATTTGTGAGCGTCTCTGTTAGGCAATTTTGCTCTGCTTTCAACACTTGTTTGAACACGTAAGACTGTTTTAGAAGAATTCTCGGCTTACAGTATTTCGCAACGCTTTATACAAGCTGCACAGGGAAACTGAACAAAATGTAAAGAAAACAATGATTCTGATACGACAGATAAGAGCAGTATCTTTATATTTCTCTATACACAGAATAAACTACCAGACATGATTAGAGATAGAAAACAGAGGTTTTATGTTTTTTTAAATTTACCTTTCATATAAATATTTTGTATCATTTAATATGAAACGAAATTGAAAAACAGTATATAACGGGGTTGTATCTAAATAAATGCTATATCAAATGAAATAATAATAATAATAATAATAATAATAATAGTAATACTATTCTTCTTCTACTTAATATCAATAAAGAAATGTTTGGTTGATAAATTTTTACAAAATACATATTAATAACACGTTTATGTAGTAACTAATGTACTGAGTTTTATTTTTTTTATAACGATGTAAATAATACAAAATAATACGTATAATTCACGAAGTGATAGAAAAATAAAACACGCACATTCAGAACAAAGCAGAGATGATTCGATAAATATAGGCATTGGTAATATTTGAAAGAAAATGACGCAAGATTGTTAGAAACAATTTCATTAAATCTCGAACAATTCTCACCAGCAGGGAGATTCCAAGATTCAAATGCCCCGTTTCTAATTAATACTCATGAGCCGTGGGTCACAGCGATGTAGCCTACAGTACGAAGTGACGACCGAGTCATACCGCCCACGAACAGGCGAGTGGCGCAGCGATCATAGCGCACTCTATTTTCAGGCCTGCAATTTCGGCACAGTGCGAGCAAATGAACAAAGCTAGGTCGAGGGGCCGCTGTCAGCAGTAGTAGTAGCGGTCACACCCCGCCACTGTTGCGCCAAATGTACACAGGCTATACAAAGCGGCACAGCGGCTGCGGCGAGTTATATTGTCGAAACGCTACTGCACGATCCTATGCGGTCCTTGAAAAGTAGCGAAACTACGAGAATGACCAAACAATGAGGTATTCTGTTCAAACTAACTCCCATGAAATAATTAGTCAGTCGCTTGTAGCAAACACTTCCGCAGGCAGGGAGATTAAGATCTCGGATCATTAAATTCCACTACACGTCATGCTAATAATGAAATAACTCTAGAGAACATTAAACTTCATACGTGCACAACCATAATTAACAAAAGATAATAATGTAAAGTTTGTTTTGAAATATTTATAGGTCTGCCATGACGTGTCTCCAATTTCTAAGAAAACCTCCAATGTATTTTTGTGACGACAGAATTACAGTAGATACAATAAATTTTTAAAAGTGTTCTATACAATTATTAGGAGTTAGGGGTTAAATTATCTACTTCAGTAACGAAATCTATTCTGAGAACAAGAAGTATCATATAAATATTTTCGACTTCCAAAGAATACTATTCAATTCAGTGAATCTATTTTAAAAAAATCTGCAAAACAAACATTGAACAATTGTCTTTGCACTTACCCCTGAATTCATATTTTCGCAGATACAATGGTAGCTGGATCAACAGACGTATTCCACAATTAGTTTCAATTATCTGCAAATAAAAAAATAATTTTAGCTCTTAGCTATCAATATATAGCATAACAAAGGGATGACAACAAATAAAGCAATGTATTTACCAGAAAGTGTACCCTCCTCAATTGAAACTAATATGTAATTAACTTCTCGTTCAACATCAATTTGTGTAGTCGATGTTACCAGTAAAAGGGTACTGAAATGACAACATATTACGAAAATCAAAATAGTTGTACTTGATGAAAAACTTCTATATATACAAGCGTCTTGAACACTAAAGAACGATTTTGACGCCCTTACAACTACGTAAAATGGTTTGTATCTCTCATCCTAAACAGTGTTTCTCAGAAACTTGTGAATCGCAGAAACTTGCAAAACAACACATGGAGAAACAGACAACAACAACGGGATGAAACCGCCTAGCCATGTGTAGCATGGCCCAGCAACCCCAGCAACCTCAGCGCGGGTTGTGGCCATGCGGCGGCGCCCAGAGGCAGTTAACCTGCAGCCGAGTTTGATTTCGCGGCGGCCGAACCGCCCCGGTGGCTATCATGGCGGGCCGCGTCCGCGCCATAACGCCCACGATACGGGCTAAGATAGCGGCGAACTTACAGCTCTGATTTCCGAGCGACGGCGACTGGCGGTCGTAGACCGGGAGGCTGGGGCGAGGCGGAGCGGGTGTATCCAGAAAGGTCGAGGGCGAGGCGGGGAGCGGGAATTAAATGAAGAAGGAAAGGTTTCGGAGAGGCTGGTGCCAGAAGTGTAGGGAAGGATGAATTTTGACCAAAAAAAATGTGATGTTTAGTGTCAAGGGAAAATGAAGGGCAAGACAGTTGAAGAGAGAAGCGTAGCATGAAAAACGAAGGTAAAAATGTAAAGCCAGAAATATAACGGATGTTTATGATTGGAAGAGAAAAAAATGCGCGGAAGTGTTGTGAGAGTAAATCAGGAGTAAATCAGGAGAAATATGAAGGCAATAGAAAATCGTGTCATTTGTAAGATGCCGCAGGAATTCGTAATATGAAAATTGAGTAGCCAATCCAATGAGCAGTCATGCAAAGATGATAGAGAGCGAGGGAGAGAGAAAGAGAGAGTGAGAAAGAGAAAGAGAAAGAGAGAAGAAGAGAGAGAGAGAAAAAGAGAAAGAGAGAGGGACAGAACAAATAGAGAAATAAACGGGAGACAAACAATCATTTTGAAAGAAAGAGAAAGAAAGAAAGAGAAAAGAAAGGGAGACAGCGAGAAAAATATAAAGTATGATAAAAAAAAGGAAACATAGAAGGAAAAATAATGACAGAGAAAGGAAAAAAGCAATGAAATGTAAAAAAAATGAGGATTAAAAGTGTTATGTGACCAGAAGTAAACTAGACAACACCACAGAAATCGCAGACAGCCTATTTCAGCTTTACAACCCCAAAGCTATAGCTACAAAATCGGTCTAAAGCAGATGACCGCAACACTGAAGGCCGGTAACTCATGAGAGCTGGAGGCGAACACAGTGAGTATTCCAAACGCGGAAGAGCGTAGATGTGGCGTAGTGTAGCATGGCGTGGCGTGGCGTAGCGAGGGTGGTAGAAGGCAAGCGGCGAGGCCAAAGGGCGGGCTAGCCGCGTATATAGCCTCCAGTATCTCGGTGGCGAGGCGCCAAGTGAGAAGTTTCTCTCGTCCGGACGCTCGCCAACACGCCTGCCCCGCCCAGCTCCGCCCCGCCCAGCTCCACCCCGCCCAGCTCCGCCCCGCCCAGCTCCGCCCCAACCCGCAACGCACCTCCACGCCTCTCACCACTCCCTTTCACCCCTTAACGCAATTCCTCCCTACCATGCAACGTCCCTCTCTGTTCCGCCATACCCCGCTTCAATTCTCCCGCCCCGCTCTGTCCCTATCCCGCACCTCCCCGCTTCGCTCCACCCTCTCCCGCTAGCCCCCGCACCTTTTCTTCCTGCGGACCCACAATTCCTCGAGCCGCTCCGCTCTGCTCCACCCCGCTCCGCTCTGCTCCACCCCGCTCCGCTCTGCTCCACCCCGCTCCGCTCTGCTCCACCACGTTCCGTTCTGCTCCACCTCGCTCCGCCCGATGGCAGGCGCCCGGCACAACGCGAAGACGAAGCGGAAACGGAGTACGAGCTGAGACGATGGAGGCACAAGATGCGGTGCTGAGCAATGAACACGTGGGAAACTTGCGGGGTTTCATGGAGGTTCGGATTAAATCACGTAATGAGTTGTGATTATTTCGAAAAATGGTTGGTTGTTTTTTAAATATATTTTAACTGTGACGATGTAAAAATTATCGATTGACGTCCTCTTTTGGATGTTTTGAAGTCCACTTGTACAATTACTTTATTGCAGAACCAATGCCATACTGACAATTATAACACCTAATCTCGGTCAAAAGAAAAATAGTTTGAAACACAGAAGAAATAGTCGTACTTTTTCTACCAGCACGTAACACAGAAAATGAACGTCAATTTTCAATATTTATATTATTTTCAAAATGTAATTTAATATTAAGGGAATTCTTATACGCAGGCTGTAAATAATCGCAGGAAATACCTTATGCACAAATGCATCATTGTACCTTATTCTTGTACGTATTTGCGTCGTCGACCAGTGAACCGTAGCACGTGCATGAAAAGCAGTATGTAATGCGAAGATGCCGTGCTCCGCAAGCTAAAACAACTGATTTAACGAAGGAAGGAGGCAATGTGTTATAGCCATAGAAACAGAAATGGTAATACTGAGGAATTTTTAATGCACTCTCTCATTGCGTAACACGCGCCGGCCAAACCGCACTAATCTCATTCGAAGGTGAAACAAGTTTGAGATAAATGGAATAAGTAATCTCACCACCCAGCAAAATAATAAGGAAAAAGAGAAGGTAATAAAACTCGTAACTCAAGAAAATACGCAAACGCTTAAAAAAAACAACAAGAAAAGAAATGCTCATTCTTTTTAATTAAACTAAAAAGAGTAAACTTATTTTACTCTCAACTTTAAAAAAGAAACTCATCCTAAATGTTATCTCTGTTATGCATAATTGTTTTGAAAAGTACTCCGGTATTTTCTCGGTTCGTTTCGTGTATCCTAATTATAATGAAATTAGATATGTACCAGACGATTTATTCACGATCCATTTCTCCTACAATCCCAAATATTGCGTTTCCACTAATTCCAACCGTCATAAAAAGAATGAGAAGTGTATCATTTGTCCTGCTATCTAAAAAGAAATTAATAAAAGATCAGTGCCTTCTTTGTCTCTTTATTCGTACTATTGTTTATAACATATGTATCTCTAAACTGTTGCAATACACAGGACATAAAACAATTCACCATACACAGCCAATAAAATACCGTACGTGCAAAAGATTTCTATAGTTTTTGAAATTTTCAAGAACTCATGATGACTCAAAATATTCAATAATTGTATTCTGGGATAATAAAAGGAAATAAAACTTCTCAATGCTAAACTTTGATTTTATACCACAATACAAACACACAAACGCACACACACACACACACACACACACACACACACACACACAATATGTGTATATATCTGGGATTACGAGGCT